ACAGTATCAGTTTGCTAGGAAATTGTTTTCCCACATGTTGTACAAATACACTGATTGACTTCTGGAGAAGTGCTTAAATTGTTACCCCTGCTAGTGCCCTTACAGCTGAATACTTGACTGTTATAAAAATGAGGGCTTTTAATTTATGAGAAGCTATAAATCACCAGCCTCTGAGATAAATAAATGCACATCTTGGGGTTTGGAACGTGCTAAAATCTGGAGATATTGCTTCATTAGTTACACCAAGGTGACAAGAGAAACAGTGTTGTTATGACTGACTCAGCTTTATGGAGTAATTATCAGTAAATTACATTCCTGTGTATCTAAAAACTAGATAAATGTGTTTAATATGCATTGGTTTTGTTGCCAAGCTAATCTAGTGTTACTTAAACTAAGACATTAAAGTGATCAGTGTGCTTTTCTTTAATGTAGCTTTTGTTTGATACCTTAAGATGTTGGTAGTCACATAAAATTAAGGAAATGTGTATCCAATTTTTGGTACTTCTGCAGGTATGAGTAGCTCTTACACCTGAATTCCAGATGACTTCTTGTGGTCACTGACACCTCTTAAACTGTAATATCTTTGTTCCTGAAGTCTGATACTTCCTTTACTCAGCTGGGCTGTTAACTTTGTCAAGATTAATTGGTTGAATTTTAAATGCTTTGTACTTAAATAGAAAAAAATAGTTTGCTGGGAGGGACCAACAGTAATTTTAGTGTCCCATAGTGTTCCTCATTCAGGGCCTGAATTAAAGGGGGCAAAAAAGAAGCCAAGCATAATGTAATGTGATTAAACACGTAGCTTTCCCATCATGTGTACACATGCAGTATAAACACATGGTACACGGTTCTGAAATGCTTCTGACTTTCCAGATGCTTTTGACCCACATGCCATGATTTTTGAAACATGAAGCCAGGCTCAAATTGTTTTCTTGCTGATTGTGAGAGTCCCAAGGCAAGTACTGAGAAGCAGTTTTTTCAGTTTTGTTCAGTTACAGATATTTTCCCTGAGACAGTGGAAGCTTCTTGTCTGACTTCTCTATTAGAATAAACTTTGGGCTTGACTTGATACTTTGAAGTGAAATATGTAGTTCTTTTTTATTTAGAAAGGAAGAAATGCTCTTTGCTGTGACCTGCTGGAGTTAAAGGACGTGTTAGGACTGGCTTCATGTGATATCAGTTCCTACCAGTGACATAAAGAATGTCCTCAAGCCTTTTTTAATTCTCCAGAGGAACAGCAAATACCCACTGGTGCACTCTCTCTAAAATTAATTTTGTAGGGTCGAAATAAGTGGCAAAAAGAACAAAATTGCCTTGAAACTGCAGTCATGATAAATCTGTATCCATCTTGGAGGACTGAAAATTGAGTCCAAGTTTTCTCATTTGATCAAAGCTTTGATTTCCAGTAAGACCTGAGTATATTCGTTATTTCTCAGATTTCTTTCCCAAGGCATTTTTGCTAATGTGAGGGTCATATGGAACAGAAGAAACTTAAATTGCTCAGTTTGGTTACTGTTTTAAGCTTATCAGTCTAGGTTACAATTCCTGAAAGGAATACTTCTGCCATAAAATCATGTACAGGAGTAGTGCTGCTCCTGGTTTAAAATCTGTGGAAAAAGCCTCCCCAAAAGTCTGCAGATGGAAATCATGGTGATCATGGCACGTGCCGGGGAGGGGGATTCTTCAGGAGGTCCTTTTTCTCTCAGGGGAAAAAGAGGAGTGGGCATTTCTTTACTCTCGGTGGGGAGATCCAGCAGCTGCTGTGCTCCCCCAGAACGCTCTTTAGGAGAGTGCAGAGCATCAAACCTGCCACACAGCTACACTTGGCATTGCAAATCCCCTCTGGAGAAACACTGGCACTGGTCATGGAGGCCCCTTTTGGATGGTCATAGACAAAGTGTGTATATAAAAGAATTTCAGCTGCATTTTCAAGGGTCAGTGTTTTACCCTTCAGAGGATACTTGGTTTACCCTTATGCAACCAAATATCAAATATGGGTGGTAGAGGGTTTTTTCATGACCATCTTAGCATTTGTAAGATAAAACTTTAAATGCTTTTTTGGTTTAGTTTTTGCAATGGGAGTGGAGCCACAGAGGTTGCTGTGTTAATACCTCACCCGCTGTGGACGAGATAAGGATGTCCTTCCACATTTAACTGAGGCAGGAGAGAAATAAAAAAAGTCTTATCACAGAGTTGTGATTAATCTGAGATTGCACAATGAAACAGCTGAGCCATATCTTGAGAAGTAAGATTTTTATTTAACTAAGCAGTACTACCTTGTGAAATATTTTCTTAGAGCTGTCTTTGAGGAGTTATAACAAGAAACAGAAAAGCTGAAAACAGGTTATTAAGTATATTCAGTATATTAAGCTGAATATTCAGCTACTTCAGTGATAGTGCTTGCAATAGATTTTGGAAATAAATGTGAAAACCATGTTTCAGGTTTGGTACAAGTTAAGCTTTCTTGAGGTCCACCTGGTTAAATTCAGACTGTTGGTACAGGAATGGTGAAGGCTCTGTCCTTCACAGACAGACTGCTTCTCAATGTCCAGGGCAAGAAGTTTGAGGGATGCTACAGCAACTTTTCAAAATCTTCTCTAAAAGAAGAGTGAGAGAAAACATTGAACTCTTGAAGTCATTCACCCTGCTCAGGAAGTTCAACTCAAAAGCTACAAACTGATAGAGTTACAAGCATTTGAAAGTGAATTATTGTACAGGGTATGAACCAACCTGAAAAAGAGATGCTATGCTTTCCCTCCTCGTAATCTTAAATTGGCAACTTAATTAAGTCTTTCCTTTCAGAGCACAGCATTTCTACAGTCTGAGGTTTCTGGGTGTATTTTCGTAATAATGTTTAGTTAATGTCATCCTGCAGCTTTAAACTGGGGAAGACTCACTTTTTACATGTCTAATATATAAGATTTAATTAAAAGGCTGAGTGCAAGCTAATTTTACTTTGGGGTTTCTGCAAAGTACACCTTTCACTGACTGCACTGAATAAACAAACACTGTTTTTGTAGCAGGCAAGAGATTTTCAGGGGAAAATAAGCTCTCTGCCGAGGAGAGGAAATCTGCTGGTTGAATGAACTAAAGCTGTCAGAAGTGTTCATTAAAGGAACATTTTGGAGGGCATTTTCAGCTTTTAAGTTTACCTGAACTGCTCTTCTATCCAGCTACCATAGAAAAAAAGGATAGACTGTAGAGAGTCTGAATTTTAAGCATTTGCAAATAAAAAGCATTTTATAGGACACTCAATCAATGAGGTCTGTGTGATATTTGTAACAAACAAATATTCCTTACATGAAGAACAATTTCAGAATGGGAATAGTAAACATTTGTGTCAGTTAAAGTTCTTGGAATTTGGGAATGGAATATGCTGGGACTGATTCCCCACCGCCGCCAACCCCAATTAAATATTGGTGAAACTTGTTGGCTTTGATCTCTTGACCAAAGACTTAATTACAGCCCTTTCAGCCATATATTATCAATGAAGCTTTATCTGCTCCAGAGTGTGTTCTGAAAGCAGAAGGCTGTTTCCTCTTCTCTGAATCACATATGAAGCTTTGCACAGCATTTGATACCGACTAATTTAACTTAACAATTAGATTATATTATTAGATTATTCTCTTAGCTGTCAAGGTTTCTTATGTTAAAAAGGGGCGAAGTTCCTTAAAATCCTGAAGCCACATATGAGGTGCTAAACAAATACTTTGATTACAGTTCAGAACAGCATATTTAGTTTTATGTAATATTAAATAAAATTAGGCAACCTGTGTGACTAGGTACAGTTATTAAATAGTTTTATATAACAGGAAGAAAGCTTTAGTTTTGAGCTTCTGATACCTAAGGCGAATGTTTTGTTGTATCCAATTTTGGAAGTATCTTCTAATTAATTTCCTAAATTACTTATTAATTCCAGTGGAAATCCAGTCTCTAGAAGATAAAATTCAAGATGGACAGTGTCAAAAGTTGTAAACACGTAGAGGAAGGGAAAACGTGTGTGTCATAAGAGCAGCCCAAATTTGGGATGACAGGGAGAACACACTCAGAGCTGGTTTCTAACCTTTGTTTTACTGTGGCAGCAGAAATCTGTGTTGGAGGAAAACTTCTGATATTGAGAGACCTGGTCCTCTAAATTAGTGTGTGTGAATACTTGATCCACTCCCATCACTCCTCATGGAAGCAGGGGAAGGGGCTCTGAGTGTCAAGCCATGATTTTAATATCAGGACTTTCAGTTTTGCCATTAAGTTCAAACTGTCAAGAAATATTTCTGTTTAATTAGGATGTTTGACTATGGAGGTTGAAAGTAAAAAAAGTACCCAGCAATTTGGTTGTCTGAAGTTTACCAATAATTTCATAAAATCAGTTTTTCTTACATTGGGAGTGTTTTGCCCAAGTGTTTTACAGAAGGTAGGACTTGCAGATCTTAGTGGTGTAGAGAATTCCTTCAGGAATTCTACATTTTATGTTTAATTTGCCACTTCATTTTGAAATAATTATTTGTTGCAAAAATCTCTCTCTGCTGGCAAAGCTAAAATGTCTCCAGCTTTTTGTGTAGCTTCTCGGAGTAAATATCAAACAGTAATGTGAAGTCAGATTTTTCATTGAAAGCAATATCCACATTTTTAAATAAATTGTTAAATAACTAATCAATTTTCACATTAAAGCAAGACAGTGTCATTTCACATATTTACATGTAAGAGTTGAGCTAACCTGAAAGAGCATAAGCTTTCTGAAGTGGAAAAGCTTATATCTTGTCATAAATCTGGACTTTTTTACCAGCTTTAATGACTGTTTATGTAAAGTATGTTGGTATCCTTTGAACAAAGGATAAATATGCTTTGCAAACACAAACGTCTGCTTTTGTGAATGTGTGTTTAAAAAATCCCACCGTCTGTCACAGTAGAGAAGGGTTCTGAAAAAGGAGAGGGGAACACGACAGGGAAAAGAAGACAGGAAAACTGTAGACCTGCTTTTTGCAGGGGCAGATTGTGCAAAATAATGATTAAAAAAGTAATACTTTATTTTTTCTGGAACTCAAGCACGGGGAAGTTTATACGGGATCCCTCGAGCGCTGCGGGGTTTTCCTCCTCAGTCTATAGGCCTGATCATCATCTGAACTGCTTTCAAGGAGTAGGAGCCTCCCCGGTACTCAGCCCAAAATATTCCATCCTGGTACTTGCTCCTGTAGTGGCCTCCCCTGTACCACACCCCGTTGAGGTTGGAGTGGGCACACGCGTTGTACCACCAGCCGCCTTTGTGGAAGTGGGCACAGTTTCCTGTGGAACAGAGGGAAACGGGTGAGCTTCGGCTCTGAAGGGCAGCAACGGAGATTGCTGAATGTTTTTTGTTTTGTGGCTTATTCTCAGAGGGCACTTGGAAGTACTTCACAGCCTGTTGTGGTCACTTTGGTTGCTGCTCCTACTTGAATTATAAACTCTGTTGTAGCAGCAGCCGTTGGCAGAGAGGGGGGATTATTGACGCTGTGTTTAATGTGACAGCTGAAAATGAAGGAGATAACTCTTCTCAGGCTACCAGCACTGCTTCTCCATGAGCTAACATCCCAGGAACTCGGGTTATGTGCTGTTTAGAAATACTTTAAGGGAAGCCATGTGAGCTGATACAGCCCCAAGCAGCACATGGGGGCCACGGCTCCACAAAGACTTGCTTGTAACTTGTGTTTTTACTGTTACAGGCTTGTCTGAGAGTTTGCAGGATTTGTCCAGCTTTATGGTTACTGACAGCTGAGGAAAAGCAGTTGAAGTATTGCAGTCCCCAACCTTTCCTTTACTGCTAAGGGGAAAGCTGGAGGAAAGCAGCAAAAAAGTGTGCTTTAAGGAGGACAAAACCAATGATCTGCCCCTTTCTCAAGTATTGGTATGTAACTGAGCCTCTGCACGCTTGCAGTTCCTTTCATGGTGTCCAGAGGCTTTAGTTCCTGGTGATTATTGTTGTGGGAGCAGCACTACTTGGAGATCACCTGGGCAGGGATTCTGACTGTGCAGTCACATGGAAGCGATGAGATGTCCTTGAGCTAAACAGAGTTGCTGAAGCGTGTTCTCAGTGAGGGTAATAGAATTTGAATTTCTGACTGGTGCAGGGGCTTGAAGGGAGCGCTGCCAACGTGATTTGTGTCATCCTGGCTTTGAAGCATCTTTCAACAGAGTTGCTCTGTCAGAATTTACGTGCCGGTTTTGGGCGCTCTATTGCATTTTAAAAGCTGATACAACTAATGGACTGCACGTTCCTCGCTTTTCCCACCCACACCGGTTTCCTTACCTGAATACATGTCCCTGTCTCTGTCCAGTGTGGTGAACTGCTTCCCGTTGTGCCAGATCATGGAATCGCCGGCGTTCCCTTGGTACGTTCCCAGGCGCAGCCTGTAGAACTCGCTCTCGGGCTCCAGGCGGAAGCTGCTGTACTCGGCATAGACCTTCTTGTTGCTCCAGTCCTCCAGCTCAATCAATAGTCTGTAATTATCCTGATTGCTGAGCATGTAGATGTTTTCCAGTCCCAGCCAGTACTCTCCATCAATGTTTCCAAATCCTTTCTGTATGAGAGAAGATCAGAAGGGGGATGTTGGCTTAGTTTTTCTTGTTTGTCAAAACACTCAGCGGCAGGAGTGTTATAAACCATTGGAATTTGGGCACTGAAAGCCTTTAAGCTTCTGGATGACTGCTCAACACATGCATTTAAGTGCCTTATTTTGCTGCACTTGGACCGCTGAGCTGCACGAGATGCTGCCAGAATCGCTGCCAGCATCAGTAAAGGGAGCAAAATTTCTGTATTCTGGGCTGTCCTCTTCTTTTTAAGGTAAAGGGAGTGAGAACAGGGAAACTGAAACAATATATTTCTTGACAAAGCTAAGGGAATCTGTAAGAATGGATGAATAGTGGAATTTTAGGGATATATTTCCAGGTTGAAAAAGGCTGATTTATGGATCAGCCGTCTCGTTGTTCAAGGCAAATAACTTTTTGTTGCCTTTGTATTTCAACTAGTGTTGGGTTTTATTGTGAATTTAATCACACAATTCATCTGGGCTCTTTACTGGATTTATCAGAAATGAGATATAAAGGCATTTTTCTTTGCAAATCACAGACTGCCAGCACAATAGATGTGAAGTGATATTTCCTATCTGCTCTCTCCTCTGCCCAAGTTTGCTAATGTTTGGTGTTGCATTGTAATCAAAATGTTTATGGTTACTTTATGAGGCACTCCATAACTCCCCGATTACGTTTTATAACATTAACAGCTCCCAAACCAACCACATACTGTTCTGAGAAGTAAGGACTTTGAATAACTATTGATTTAATGATTATTGATTGATTGATGTATTGAAGAATTTATGTATTCATTATCGATTTAATAATTAATATTTGAACCATTAAGTTCAAGAAGCAAAAATCCGTATGTTGATTTTTTGTCAATTCCTTTGTATACATGATACTGTTGTTAAACTACTGATGGAGTTGAACGTGGCTCAGTTCTCTCTACAGATACAATGCAGGTGGCAATTGCAAATCCACTTCAAATGAGCACAACAGCATAGGGGAAAACTGTGTCCTGTATGTGTGAAGTCAGCACATTATTATTATTTAAAAACCCAACCAAATGGATTTTCAAATTTCCTGTTCAGCATGTAATTACTGCAAAGCAATGTCCATTTCTCACCCTGGGCATTCTGCCTGGTAGTGCATAATATCACAGTAACACACAGGAATGTGTTTCCCTTCACCAGCCTGACATCTTCAGATTTCTGACCTAAACTTACAAGTGGAGATTATTTCCTTCAGTTCGTTGTTAAGACTTTTTAAGTTGAGGCCCTGATGTTGCAAATCTTATGATGTGTTTAAATGAATAATTCCACTGGCTGAGTTTGCCTATTCATAAGGGAGACAATTAAGCTTTACAAGTACTTGCTGTAGTTCTCAGTGTGTTAATAAAAGTCATGTGTTTAGTTAGAGCTTTGTAATAAATGGCTTCCCAGTCACTGTCTAGAACAACATGTGTCTCCCAGTTGTGTTGTGCATCACAAATAGAGGCTATTTCAGACAAGCTGGTTCACACAAAGTTAACTATGCCTTGAGGGAAAATAGGACCTTCCCCGTGAAATATGTTTGCCTCTGAGGGGTGGCCACTCTTTCCAGTTATCCTTCTTCACCCACTGACTTTCTGCATTCTGTAATTTACCTTGTAACTGTCCCAGTTCCTGAAAAAGTTGACAGATCCATCTGTCCTCTTCTGAATAACTGCCCATCCTCCAGGGTCCAGGCTGTTCTCACACCACAGTTGCATTGGCTCGTTGCTGTTTTCAGGTTTGATCATGTAAATCCCACTGTTGGAATGTCCAGCTTCCTTGGCTTGTTGGCAGTCTTTGAATGGACCTTATGGACAAGAAATACTGTAAGCATTCAAGCTTGGCTGTGCAGTGCCCATTGTTCAGGAATATTTTGTAATGGAAAGTCAGTAATTCAATTCAGGTGTAAAGCTACCATGGAAAACAGTGCAAAAAGTTACTGTCTGAGATTAATTGTGTATATATAAATAAACATGTCACTATCCTCTCTGTGTATTTTTGAACCAAAACTTCATTTTGCTAAACAAATAATAGACTTTGTTTACCAACACCTAAGTTTTTTGTCTACTGTGTCCAAGATTTATACTCTGGCTCTTGATATTGAGATCCATTATGATTTTTATTAATTATTTTCTTCTTTTTCCTGTGTCATCCAGGCGTGATACACGTAGGTGGGTACTGATGAAAAAATAAGCAATGGAGAAGGATTTCTGAGGAGCTAAAAAGGCTCATAAACTTGTTTTTAGGGCTGTGGCTCTACAAAAATGCTGTTCCTGTTGTCAGTGCTGCTTGAAAGCTTTATTTTAGTCCATGTGAATAGTGGTTTTACAAATGCTACTTAGAGAAGGGCATCTGGTCATTCTGTAAGAAGGGTACCTTTGCCTTTCATTTTTTTGGTAATATTTTTATTTTCTGCTTTTTAGAAAAGAATTTGTTTGTCTGTCATGGCTTCAGTTGTTTTAGAGAGACTGGTTACTTACTAATGAAAAGCAAAGTGTGTTCTAATGACTGGTTAGTGATGGGTGCCCTAAATATGTCTGAAAACTCAGTATGTCTGAAAATAAATTACCTACAGCTTTGCTCTCTTCCTGGAAGGCTCATTTTCTCAAACATCCTTGGAAGTTCAGAGAGAACTCATCAGTCACAGGAGCAGCTCATGTGCAAAGCAGCATAGAAGACAGTTGTTGAGGTTATTCTTTAATCAAAAGTAGAGGTTGAGGGAGATTGACCTTCACTGCAGATTAAGGTTGTGTGACAAAAGCAAGTTGAAAATTGCACTTCTCTTACATTTTCAGGTAGTAGTTGCCAGTTTGACAAGTATATGATTAACAAAAAAATCCTTCAAGCATTTCATATTAATTAGAGTATATAAAGCTTATGTATCTAATGAAGAGAACTTGGAGCTTCTGGCCATGACAGAACTACCAGGGATGTCGCAGACATTGAGCCATCATTGTAAGTTCTGCTGCACTGTCAGGATTTGTGGTAGTTTTCCCATTCTTCCAGTGGAGGAATGGGAGTTCAGGAAAGAAATCCTGTAGCTGTGGTATATGAATGCTTTTTCTCTTGCTCACAATTATTAAAATTTCCATGTAGATTGTGAAAATTGCAGTTTGTCCACGGGATAGATAATTTTGTGGGTTAAGCTGGGTCTCACTTCCTTTCCTTGAACTGTTTAAATTTTGGGTGCTCTATAGCTGAACAGGGATGTTGTTCCAAAAGTGTTATTATAAAACAATTATTGCTTTAGAAAAAGTGTAAACAGCCAAGTCTTAATTTTTTGTAATGTTAATTGAACGGTCAGAGGAGCTCGATTAGATCTGCTGGATATTATCTAATGTGATTTCTACTGGAAGAGGAATTGAGGACTCATTTTTCCATGAGAGACCTAAGCAGATGTTTGGATTGTTTTTAAGGCAGACAGAGTTGTACCAGTCTGTTTATATAATGCTCTTGAATCACTTCTAAAATGCAGCTGGCATTACGGAAACAGGATGCATCTTGTCTGCTTTGCTGCTCAGGTTTGTCTGTGTGCAGAAGTACTCTGAGAAGATGAGCTGTTAAATATTTCACTTCTAAAACTGTGGTTTAGATGTATGATTTAGTGCAGATGATATTCTGTGGTAAATTAAATGTGGTAGAGAAGGAAAGGGATTAAATATTTTAGGTTGAAAGCTTAATAACTTGGTGGCGTAATAATTTTAAGAGGCCAAATGTTATCTTGAGCAGATGATATAGAAGCTGTGCTTGTTTAAACTTCATATAGAGGATTTGGGGGGGCAATAGTAGAGGAAAAGTTCAAAATAAAACTGGACTATTAATATATTAAATTATATTGTTAACTGAGAGGTATTAGTAGGGATGTGGGGGGGGGAGGATGTGTAATTTTCAAGTACTGGGTTACCTTGAAGCTACTTTTTGCAACAATGGTGGCAATAAATTTTGGGGCCACTGATTGTCATTATTAAACTTGAGGTAATTGTGACAACCGTAATTCACAGTAAAGTTATCCTTCCTCAAATTTCAGAGCAGTATTTGTGCAAATTACCCAAACTACCCAAAAATAGAACCCTCATCCTTCTGTTCCCCATGTATTTTGAGTTTTACTCTCTACCCACAATATTAAGATGTGCATTGACCCTTCTGTAAATTTATGTTGTGTGCAAGTACTTTTAAGGAGCTTTCACCTCCTGTATCTGATGAAGTTGTACCTACTTGTTTGTCCAGGTTTTTATTCTGACATAAGCCTTTAACAGACCTATTTTTAATTGGGCTCTTTGGTTTTCATTGGTCTTTTTTGACATCTTTATACATTATAAATAGTCATTATCTTTTAACTGTAAAGGTGGCTTTTCTATGACATAGTTTTCATTCTGTGCACTGTTAAATCTGCTTACCTTAATTTTAAAAGTCAGAGATAATAACTGGGCGTTGTGTTGGAATTGGGGGTTTGATGATTGACCAGCTGTAGCAATTCTCAATCCTCCTTTTCTCAAGGCACTGCAAGAAGCACTTCAACTTCCAACTCAAGAAAACAGTATTAAAGGAAGTTGAAGAATGTTAAAATAAGTGTCCTAAGATTTCTTTGTGTTCCCCTGCAAGAACGGCTTCAAACTCTGAACTTTTTAAGGGTTAAGGGGTTAGTGAAAATCAGGGTAGATAATTTAGGGGATAATACTCCTCGTGTTGTATGTGCAGCAGGCACGTATTGAGGGAGAAGAAGATGCATTTAGAACCAAACTTTGAAGTGAGGGTTTGCTGGGAAGCAGGAAGTTGTGTTTTTTTAGAATTATACTTCTGCTGTCTGACCAGACATCAGCGTGATGCTTCGGTAAGAGCTGTTTCCTTTGTGCCATGATGTGCAATTGCAATTCCCGTGATATCTGGCATTTTAGTTGGGCTCGTGCCTGAATTTTCTGCAGGCCTTGAATAAAAATAGTTGTCCTTTACATCAGCAGCTGGTTGGTTGTAATGCTGCAGAACAGTCACAAATATTTGGCTTCATTTTAGAAATCAAGTTAACTTTCAGCTGTGACTAAAGGCAATTTGAAAGAAAAAAACAAAACAAAACAACCAAAACCCCTGACCAAACCCTTTTGCTGTGCTGACAGAAGCCAAGAGTAAGCCCTTGAATGGATGTCTGAGAACTTGTTTTTCTGAATCCTTGGATTTTTTAAAAAATCACAATTCTGTCAATATTTTAATAAAGTGAGAAACGTGATTTCAGGGCAGCTCAGAGGTAGTTAATTATCTTGTCACTAATTTTGATTTCTGGTGATAAATGAATTTATCTACTGACCCGAAGAATGCAGTATGTGAAGATGTGATACAGTCTCCTGAATATATGTTCATAATATTTATAGTATTAGTTTAACTTGCCATCCCCTACTGCCATCTAATTACTGGGAATGTAGTTACTGATTTTAAATTTTCAAAGCTGAGTGCATCTAATTGGATCCAGCCTTGATTCAGTTATCCTTTCAAACTTATCACTCTTGAACATTTCAACCAAACACTTAGAGACTTACTGCACAACTGTGATGGTGGATTTGGATGTTCATTTTAAAGCAGGTCAGAATAGAAGGATGAAAAGTCTTCCAGCAGGATTAGCTTCTGGCAAATGTGTATATGTAAGAATAAAGAAGAACTGCTTAAAATCACTTCTTTTGTTTAAGATGAATTAGTTTCTCTTATTCGCCCTTGCCTGCTGCTGTAAGATGTGGCTGACAGGCATCATCAAAGAAACATGTAAATAGTAGAAAGTTTATACTAATACTGAATTTTCATTCCTGTAACTCAAACCCAGCTGGAGAGAGAAAACCCCCAATATTTTGTGACTTAAAGGTGTAAATTGTTCAGACTGAAATTCTGAGTATCAGCCGTTTCAACAAATTCATCTTATGCAGAAATAGGTTGTTTGGCAAACTCAAGCCTTCCCTGGGAGGTGGCAGGGGGAGAGAAAATCAGGAGCAAGGGCAAGCTGTACCAGGTACTTTCAGTTCTTGGTTCTATGTTTGCAGTGGGGACAGTTTCACTCCGAAATGGAGAGATCTCAGGTTAGACAGACAGCGACAGGAACTTACCCTCATTAATCAGAGCCAGTGGTGGCACTCTGAAAGGACTCTTTGTAGGAGAAGTGGCTGGATCAGGTGGTGGCCTTACATCTCTGGGGTATCCCGGGTCTCTCTGTATCTCATTACCTCCCAGAAGGACGGGAGTGTAGGGCTGGCTGTTGGGAATGTGCTGTGGCACCACTTGGACGAGGGGTGGGGACCCGTGGGTGTCCTGTCGAGAGAAGATTCTCAAGCACTGCTCTTCCAGCAGTGAGATAGTCACAGACTGGTTGTTTACCAGATCAGTCAGTGCTGCGTATTTTACTTCGAGCTCCTTGTATTTCGTTGCCATCCTCAGCATTTCTGTTGTGACGTTCAGGACTTTGTTTTCCAGTTGGGAAAGCTCCAGCGAGTTGTCACGCTTCCGGATGATCTCGTGCAAGAGTTGCATGTACAGTTGGGTGACCCGGGAGTTCATGTTCCGACTTTCTTTCCTCAGTAATTTGACTTCGTTCACAATGTTTCCATCCACGTCCACCACCAACTGCAAAATGTCAATCTCCCGCTTTTGCTTGGACAGCACATCCTTCAGGTTCTCGATGTCCATCCTGGTGACTTCGTCCTTCCTGTTCCCGGCGGCCGGTCCGTTGGTGTTCACGCAAATTGGCCCCGTGATTTTTTGTTCTGGGACCAAGAAGGTGTAGCCACATTTCTTCCCTTCCTCTCCACCCTCTGCTGAGCGAGGGTGTCTCCGTTGGGGCGTCTTGCTCGGCGTGGATTGTTCCGTGCAGCGCCCGATGGACAACAGCAGGAACAGCAGGACACCCAAAGTCCACTTGAATATCTTCATTTTAACACGAGTGTGGTGACCGTCGGGAGGCTGTTGAACAGATAAAAGATAAAGTCATAAATTAGAGGCAGAACTAAGGTTCCTTGACTGTTAAACTACCTGAACTGGTGAGTTTGCCGTGGTGTGGAGCCAAGCCTTTGGAATCCCTTACTTGGAGTTAGATTCCTTTAGATTACTGTCAAAGGTCAGCTTTCTGGTTTGAGCAGCAAACACCGAAATTTAGATGCAGGATTTAGTAGAGAAGTTGTTGCAACAGATAAATTTTCAGAAACAATGTTCTGCTCAGATTCTGTGTTACACTTTCAGTGTCGACGAGACTGCTCAGGTCTGTGCTCACTGCACAAGGTTATAGAACATCCAGTGCTTGCAGAATAAATTATTTCTATAAATGTTATAATTTGGATTATATAAACGTTTCTGGTCCTCTCTTAGCTTTATATACGTATACATATAGATGTATAATTTGCTAATTACTATATAAATACCTATTTATATATAAACCCATTTTTTTTGAATTTATATATACACAGGTGTAGTAGATATATATATATTGAAAAATATATCTTTAACACTATTTTTGGACAGTGGTGTTAGGCAGGAGATTAGCTTAAGGTAGTTGTCTTACCCATTGAGAATTACTTATTCAAGTAACTTTACGTTTGTAAGAAAAGCTTGGGACACTGGTCTGGATGTGTGTCCCTATTTAGTTGCCTTGAGATGCACATTTCAAATTGTTGTCACGCTATTTTTGTGTTTTTGAGAAGATTTGTATCCAAATAATAGTGAAATATCAGGTGTGTTACCACTATAAATACCATACTGGAGTGTTTCACTCATCTTTAAAGGAAAATAATTAATTTCTCTTAACTTTGTGTAAAGACTTGAAATTATAAAAATCTGGGAATTTTTTTGAGGCATGTTTTTAGCTTTAAACATTTGAGATGATAAACAAAGGTAGCACTTAAATAAGGGGGGGAAAGCCCTCTTTTTTATGTTTTGTTTGCTTTGTGAAGCAGATCACTGTTCTTATCTCAGCTGTTGATCTGGCTTTCCTTGCCAGGCTACTTCTACAAGCCCTTGTACAGTGGCCTTGGGATAATTACAGGGAGAAATACAGTAAGAGCAGGGAAAGTTAATTATCATGCTGTTGCTGCTAAGTTGGAGTTAAGTGCATTTGGCAATCCTGAGACATGGCCCTGAAGGAGAAGCAGAGCTGTGCTGCTTCCTTCACATTCACATTTACAAACCATGAGGTGACTTTTGGATCAGGTCACTTCTCCCAGTTCTGTTACTGGCTTTAATATTATTGCTACAAATGGTGTCTGCTCAACCTCAGTAAACCTGTCAAGTCTTTCTTTTTCTGGCTTCACTAAAAGTGGTTACAAGCTTCCAACCATGCTGCATGTGGAGTTGGATCTAGGAATCTTGATTAAATGTGCCAGTGTTGCCTAAAAATTAACTTTTTGTTTGGCTGAAGGTTGTATTGCAAGCTCTGCTTCTGGGAGGGGGATGAATGGAGGGAACACATAAATTTGAGGAAGTTTATTTCAAAACAGTTATTTCTCTTAGTTTGTAGTAATAGGTATTTTGCTGTCTACTAGTAAATTTATTTTTTTTTCAAAAACAGAACTTAAAATATTGTTGATATTTCTCTGCTGAAAGTGTTCTGTTTAAAGAAAAAAAAAAGATAGGAAAAAGTATCGCTTTTCTCTAGAGCTGGTTGTGTGTTTTTCTTTGGTAATTTCAGACAGTTAAAATATTAATCACTTGAACAGTGCTCAGATTTGGAAGTTCATTAGGTTAAATGTTCACATGAATCATGGGAAACACGTGGGGAACTGCTCTGTGTGTGGTTTCTAAGCTGACAAGGATGAGCTGAATTAATTGTCTGAAGCTTAAAAACTCTTCGCGTCTCCTAAATTATTTTTCAATACTTTTATGTTCAGTGTTTGCAGATTGAGGGAGAGTGACTTCATGGCATCTGGTTGGGGATGAAGCCATAGCACAAGCCCAGTATTTTACTATTTTCACAGTATATAATAGCTACTTCATAGTCCAAGAAAGTGAATGGCACTTTAGTTCTTGGTAGCTTTTAAATACCCTACAGAGTTACTGAAATAATGAATGGCTGGGGATTTTCCCCACAGCAGCACATTTTTTCCCCTGAAATACATTAAAACTTAAATGAATCTTTCAAAACCAAACACTTTGCAACACAGCCCACGTTCTGACCATGTATTCTGCTGCAGTCTGCTTTCTGCATTTCTTTTAATATTAAATGTGTTCATTTTGAACTTTTACCCTTATGTGTTAAAGTTACAAGTTCTGTGTCTATATATGTGCTGTCAGACCATTAAATGAATTACAGGGTCTAGTACAGCACAGCCAAATGCAGCAGCTGCATAAGATTATGCTCTAGAATTTCAAATGATTCAAATGTCTTGCAGTAAACTGAGACATTCAGATAAGCAGGGATGAGTTCCTTCCAAGAATCTACCTGGTAGGGAATGTGTATGCCCCCCTGGAAATTTTGATGGTGAAAAAAATGAAATGTCTTAAAATGTCGCTTGTCATGTTTAAGCAGCTTAGTGCCTAACTTGTTATACAAGAATAGGTTCTGAGCAAGATATTTACCTGGAGTTTTAATCAGTTTAGAAGGAAATGAAAATACTGTTTCAGAAATTTCCTGATGTTCTGGGCAAGCAGCTTAAAAAAATAGGAGCTGTTTATCCAAAGTATCACAGGATGATAGCCTTAATATGTAAGACCTAAGTGACAAATTAAAATTAGAGTTGGGAAATAGTTTTAGGGTTTTTGAATCAGACACATTCTGCCTAGATTCCCAGGTTTAGATGTTTAGGTGGTGGCAGAACTGTTAGGAGACAGTTGAGGCTCAGGGATCGGATCACGGAGAACCACAGTCTCCAACCCCCCCTGCAAGTCTGGAGTTGCTTCTATTGAGTGGGGCTGCTGGAATACCTGGTTGCAGACCTTGGAAATGAGGTGAAGGAATTTGTGATTGCAGATACTATTGCTTTAAAATACGTTCTTTAACTCCTTGTTAACTGTCATGTTTTTAAATTGGAATAAGCTGTCGCTTCGGTTGGTTCTGTCATGTTTCTGCGCCACCCGGTTTTGGGGCTCGGGTTTCTGTAGAAGTTGCATTACGTCTGTTCTGACACACGGGTGTTTTATGGCTTCTGCAGGGGAAAATGTGCCATTATTCATAGCAACACAGACTTCTTCATCAGCCTGTCAGAAACACTCAGAGCCATGGACAGAGTTTCAATACCATTTTACATTTAATGCCATTTCTTTTCTTCTCGTTTCTTTCTTTTTCCAGACTGATCCCCATGCAAAAAAAACTCAACTTGTTTTCAAAATTAGTCTTGGACTTATTACTTTTAAAAGTGCTTAAAGGAACAAAAATTCTAATTTAAAAGAGCAAAACAAGCCAGTAACTACTATTTTTTACTACTGTAACACAGACTGTGTTATCCCCCCAAATATTTTATCTCAAAGACAGAGTTGCAGGGATGAGGGTGTGTGGAAGTTGGTATATATTTGGCATTCTTCAGCTTTCTGTACAACAAACTATTCATTCTTTGTTGTACTGCTGTGACTCAGGTTCAGCAGGATGTAGAATTTGGAAACCCACAACACAAATTGGAGTCTATTCTTCCAGAGCTGACGAAGGCTCTCGTTCTCCCTGGGCAGTGTAGGGTGTGATGGGTGAATGTAACAAAGGTGTCGCAGGTAAATGGGAATATAGGATTCCCTTTGTATGGGAAATGCTGTATCAGTACATAGCTTTATTCAGAATAATTATTAAAATAATATGATCAAGTGATAAATTCCTGTTATATGTAACAGGAAGAGAAACAGGTTTCTTTGAGAAAGTAAATTTATAATACTGAGACTAAAGATCCTCTGAGACCAGTTATTGATGTTATACATGCTTCATTTTCTTTTGAGCTTTGCCTAAGCAGCTGAAATCAATAAACCCAGCTACGTTCCCCTATGTCTACACAGGATAAGTGAGGATTTCTGTGGATTTTTTTGGCTTAGAACTGGGCCCATAACATTAGAAGGACCAGTGATGTGGGGAAAACAATCTTATTATAGGAGAAACGCTCACATGGATTTTCAATATATCTCTGTGTTTAAGTAAGTTACTTTTCCCTGTATAAACAAGTGCTTTTCCGGCAAGTCCCTCTGCCTCTGCTGAAATAACAGGATTACTTTGAATTGTATTGACTGGGATCCAGGAATAATATGTTCTTGGGTTTTGTTCGTCACAGACGTGATGTATTGAGTCACAGAACTCGACCTCTTGAAGATGAATATGAATCTGATTCCATTTAGGAAAGGCAATCGAAAAGTCATCAAGGGCTTTTGAAGTAGTCATTGAAAACGTGTCACTTTTAAAAATGATGAATTCCTAGAAATCCTCTGCCAAAGAGGTTTGTAAATCTTGTCATAGTAGGTATTCCGAAAGCACAGCACAATTTCATAACATTTCCAGATATTTTGGTCAAGTTTTTTTTAATGTGAGGGTTCCTTTACATATGTTGGCGGCCACTGTGTGTGTTTGCACTGTTTGAACAGGCAGGTACAACGAAATGGTGCGTTTTGTCTTTGGAAATGTGTGATTTGGGGGCTCCAGAGTTCTCTTTAAAACAGATAGTGAAGATATGAAGCATCTAGCTGTGTTTGCTATAGGAAATTTTACTTCATTCATTGGTGTATAAATGTTAAGGACCAAACCAACAGGGCAGATCACAAAAAACAAAGCCCAATATTACAGTAATTAAGACCTGATAGATGTGGTTACTGCCAAAAGTTTAAAGGTTCAAATTCCTTTAAAACTTTAAATAGTATATTTTCCCACCATACTTCAGATCATGCTTTTGGCAGCAGCGAAATATTAGTATTGCATTATTTGTTTTAAAATAAACATTTCAAAACTTGCACTCCGGAGTTGGAAGGCAGCAAAGGGGAGAGAGTTAAAACCTTGCACACAGCCAGTTTATTGCTTTAAAATTATTGACTCAGCTGTTTTCATTTGTGGGAGATTTAGGAATTGTTCTAAGCAGTGTAAATCAGAGCCTTGGCTGATGATGAATGAACGGAGCCTGGTGTCCAGAGCACACCATGTGCCTCAAATGGGGGTTGTGGTGGTGGTGTTGTTTGCATTGTTCTCCTTCATATGTAAATAAGCACAAAAGGATAGTAAGGAAAAGGGCTCAAAAACCTGGAAAGGATCCATCTTTTTTGTTTGTCAAGGCTGCTTCAGACTTTTTTCCTCCCATAGCTACCAAATCTTAACTAAGTTTGCTTTCTGTAATACTTTGCTGCTCCTTTTAGCATCAGCCCCTTCGTTCTCTCTCACTGTGTCAGACATCTCTGAGTTTGTTCATACAAATACACAACTTAAATTTTAATTTCCATTGTTCTGGATTATTTACTGTATTTTAATTTTCAAGTCAGCACGAAGAAAGGAAAAAAAGTAGAAAATTATTATTAGCAAGTATTAGCAAGTCTTTTTTTGACTTTATCTGTACTTTTGTGTTTTGTTTGTAAACAACTTCCTTGTTTTAATCATTGACTTGCAGCAGTGTCCTTCCCCCTCCCTCTCCCCAAACAGCTGTAACAAACCCCTCAGTTTTCCACTTAATATAGTTTTGCCTTGTACACTGCATTTCATGTTTACGAAATGGATCTTTATTTAGAAACAAACTGCAGTTCAGTTGAGGTACAATTCACTTCCCAGAAATTGTTGAAAGAAGGGATTAGTGCCTGTGGCAGCAATGTCTTTGGATTTTCAGCTGCACAATTGCTTGTGCTACAAACTTGATTATGTTCTGAATCACTGTACGACTGGTTTCTTGGTTGGCTCCACAACTCGGGCAACTTCCACTCCTCAGAAGTACCATAAATAAAAATGTACTTGAGACGGTATACAATGATTGCTACTTACAGATGTGCATTGATTTGCTTGGGACTTTTCACAGTGGTTTTATTGAGGTATCCATTTTCTAGTTCTAGTAATGCTAGGTCTATGCTCTGGTGTTGGGTGAAATCCAGCTTCCCTGAAATCGATAGGGGTTTTGGCTTTTGCTTTCTGGTAGGATCGGAATTTCACGTTAGTATGTTCACAGTACCCAAATTACATGCTTAGCAAAGACTCTGGGAGTGCTAATTTTCTGTAACTGTAGATAACAATACAGCTAAACAACTGAAACTAGTTCACCCTTACAACTGGAACGAGTTAGTCTCTGCTCTTATGCAGAGTCCTTTCTAATGCTTTCCAAGTTTCCAAAGTCTACCAAATGCCACAAAAATGAGTTTTAATGTCAGTTGTCAATTTTTTCTCAGGCTGAGAAGGATTTGTTTCTTCACCATTGTGTGTTGAGGGAGATGTATGTAGCATTCACAAATAGCTCAAAATGAAACTTGCAAGTAAGAATAACTTTAAAACTTACCAAGAAAAAAAGTCTTCCAGCTGGTTTTGCTTCTGTGGGAGATGGAAAATCCAGAGGCCAAGTTGCTTTTTCTTCCTGTATTACCCGATGCTGTGGATTGTTAATCTGCAGTTGGAGCTGAAAACTGCTTTTGTCTTTCTCTGTTAGATCCAAGCTGTACTGAGGAATTGGGCTTCTCCATACGATAACCAAACTAACTGATCATTTAAAAAAGGGGAAAAAAAGTAATGCTCCGGTGTGCGTTATTCCAGAAGAGAGAAAGAAATGGTTTTTTGAAACTGCAGTGTTTTATTCTCACAGAATAGAGCAGAAGTGCTCTAACCAGCTCCAGCTGACCCAGATTCCATATACATCACTTTTGGACAGTGTTTTTTTTAAACAAACACACGCTCGGCTCAGCCGTTCGGCCCACCTATGATGTCACCGCGAGCACTCGGAGAGCAGGAGAAACTCCTCCTTCGGATTTCCTATCCATACCCTCCAGAAAAGGAGGGGGTAGGGAGGTTGAGAAGTCAGGAACAAGGAAAGATTGTTTGCCAGTAGAAGGGAGGTACCATATGGCAACGGACTGTGCAAGAGTTCAGCAGGCAATTACAAATCAAACATTTTTACTATGCTGCCTAAAGATGCCTTTCAAGTTATTACAGTACTGGGCTTCATTTAGAAGAAAGATTCTTTCAGGCTGATAAAACTTGATTTGTGTTGCTGGGAATAAAAGGGGCAGCCTGGCTGGATACAACAGGAAAAATGAAGCATTTGTAGTCTAGAAGAATGTTCGACAGAATGTCGCGTTCAATTCTTGACGTTCGCTTAATAAGAAACAGCTCCGGTTGTTAAAGGCACGAAGCCTCCGATACATGTGGAAAATGTTAAAACTCTGTGTGTGTGTGTGATGGTTTTGGGTAGGTATCAGAATGTTTGATAACATCTGACCAGTGTTAGAAGTAGCAAAAGCCACAGAGATTACGCTCCTTGAGGAAAGCAGAGAGTCTGGGTTGGGTTCCGTCCGTGCTCAGCCAGCACTTGAGTACGTTCCGTTTGCTGCCATTGATCCTTTCAGCTTCCTCACAAAGGCTGTGCCAGTTACATCTGAAAGAGAATTACCCTCGTGTGCCTTCAGAATTATTTTAGATTTCATACATCCAGTAGCTTCAGAGAGCTGCTCTCCACGGGAGAGTTGTTGACTTAGCTAAAAGAAAAATTCTGTGCTTAATTGAGCAAGTCATTCAGAGAGATAATCCTACAAATACAGTGGTTTATAAAATCCTGCATAATAGTGCAGGTGCCTGTTACAGGGAATTTCCTTAATTATAGTTAATAAGCATGATTTACTTCTTTCTGTGGAAGACTGAGCAGGTTTGGGATTTTTAAGGCTCGTTTGGACATAGCTTAGTACAGTTAGGTTCGGGACAACTCACACACTGTAGCATGGCAATTAAAGGGGACTGCCTGATGGTTCTGATTATCCTTTCTATTTTTTAATAAACTCTTTCCAGCAGAATAGAAAACTGAGAGATTTAGTAGTGTATCAGGTCATGTGTAATACCTTTTTATTCACTTTTTTATATATCACCTTTCAACCACAAGTATTTTAATTTGTTTCTGTGTGTGCGCACACACGCGTGTGTGCGTGTTGATTTTGGAGGGATGCCCAGAGTTTCCCAGCTCACATTTGAGGACTGTGCTGGTTAGGTGCTATACAAACACAACTGCTGTTCTTGTGAGGTTGCATTAATAGTCTTCCACCTGTAAAGCCAAACTCCTTGTTATGATTTTGGTTATACAAGGCTGAGAGGTGAAGCAAAATATAATTTTAAAACTTCCCTTTAACAGAAATTGGTTTTTTTAAATAATATTATTTGTGTATTTTTTTAGTTTGGGTGTCTTCTGGAAGATGCAGGGGATGAAGAGCAGTTCCTCTTCATAGCAGGGTTGATCAGGATGTGTTTCATTTAGTTGAGGCAGAATGATCAGTCTTTGGGTGAAGTTCAAGAAATGGAGTTGCATTTAGATATAAAAGTGTTTTATCTACAGCATTAGTGTGTAAGGAGGAGGATTTTCATCTGCATATGATCAGGGGATTGAAAGAGTAGTAAGATTACAAATAGTGCAGGGGGAAAAGGCAGGTAGAAGACTTAAAATGTCTTATCTGTAAGGCTGTTGGATTCATTCCACATTTCAGTCTGAGTGTTCTTTTTCCCTAGTTAACTTTTCCCACGTTGCTGCAAGTTGAGTCCGAGTTTTTATTCAGCTTGAAGGGTTATAGATACAATTTTTCCTTCTAGTATTTTTTTAATTCCTGAATTGGAGGAAAGAAGTCGTAAACTTCCTAAACAATTACTAATTTTGATCAGGTGTTTTAGCATTGTGTGTTCAGGGTGCTTCATATTTGTCAAGGGAATTGTTCATTGGTGCTGTGGTGAAGATGGGGTTTGTGAGTAGTTGTTCATGCCCTGGTAATTACTTTTAGATTTAGAAATAATGACATTTTTAAAGACCTGCAAGCATATCAGTCAACGAAAGCAGAAATTCTTCACGATACCGTTGGTGAGTTTTTTCTGCCAAGTGTGAGACACTTAAGTAAAGAAACTTTTCATTCTGCTCTTATTTCAGGTATTTATCTGTCAGACTTGACGTATATTGACTCTGCCTACCCATCCACAGCGAGCATTCTGGAGAGTGAGCAAAGAACAAACTTAATGAACAACATTCTCCGAATTATCTCAGATTTGCAGCAGTCGTGTGAATATGGTAAGCTGTTGTGGAAACACTGCAGTATTAAAGAGAAGAACTTTAAAAGCTTCAATATTTGTTTGCTGTACAGCAACTTACAAGTAAGGCCCAGCTCATCTGAATGCCATGAACACCCTCCCTCATCCTCTCACACCAGAAGTCAGGGTTTATTTTGGTATTGCTGTTTGAGACAGAAGAAAATTGCCCTTTTCTTACATCACACACGTTTTTGCAGGACATATTTCCTGATGATAAACGTGGAGCACATCCTATTTAAAACAGTAGTTTTACTGGTATGTTATAAGCTTGTAGCCGTGTGCTTCATAATTTTATGACCATGAATTTTAAAAATAGGATTGCTTTTGGAGTAGTACTTTTACTGGAGGTAATAAAATACGTTCAGCTTGTCTTTTGGACATTTATAGTTCTGTTCATGGATCAGATCATTTATTTTTTCTTCAAAGGTCTCCCTCACAGTCCCCTTCATATTTTAGCAAAGTCATAAGGCTGTGTTTGCAATGGTGGAATGTGAATTAGCACAGGATTGTGGCTTCCCTGAAAGCTCAATATCAAGAGAATATGGGCTGTGAAGGAGTCCTCAGACAGAGCCCTCCACATTCCAGGTGTGGGCCTTCAGTTTGGCCTGGGAAGTTGTCTTTCTTTTCCCTTACATGTGCTCTGATAAGCAGCTCTGGGGTTTGTGGATGTGGGGAGTGTCAGCTCAGCACATGAGATTTGCTATGAAGTTCTAAAATTTCAGTATCACCAGAGGCTGTAGTTTGTACCTTCATCTCACAGAAAAAGTCAGGAGATCCGAATCTGTTTAGTTTCTGGAAAATTGCTTACCAATGAGTGGTATAGTAATAATAAATGTCATCTGTTCTCCAGATATCCCTATGTTGCCTCACGTCCAAAAATATCTAAACTCAGTGCAGTACATAGAAGAACTACAGAAGTTTGTAGAAGATGACAATTACAAGTAAGTACAAAATGCTACAACTGACTGTAATTCATAACAAAATAACTTCTATAACACAAAGCCTGTCACTTGTAAGATTGCACTTGTATCAGGGGATTGTATTATATTGTATGGGTGTCCCTGCCCATGGCAGGGGTTGGAATGAGATGAGATTTAAGGTCCCTTCCAACCCAAACCGTGCTGTGATTCCATGATTATGCACCTCAGATGAACCAGTTGCAAGTGGTTGAGGTTCCAGAAGGATCCTGTGCTCCAAGACACTTTTCCACATGCTGCATGGCTTATCTCCTTCCTTTTCTATGCCAGAATGTACCAAGCCCTTGTTTTCAGAAGTCTGATAAAGACTTTGTACACCTGGCTCACCTGTAACACTGTGCATCAATAAGATGGATTCCATAATTGGAGATGGGTTACTCTCATTCTTCATCAGAACAAAGCCATCTGGGCACCCAGTCCCATGTGTTCACTGAGGGTGACTTAAGGCTTTCACTTGCATGTATTTCATTTTATATTTTGCTCTTTGATTAGGTTATACAGTGGGAGTACCTTGTAAGCACTTGATTTCTGTCCATCTCTGTCTCTGCCTGTTCCTCCCAGCCTCCCACCTGAGGTTTCTACCTCTCTAATTAAAAGATTACTGCAATAAGTGATTTGGCATCCAGTAAAACTGAGGGAGGGAAATCTGTGGCAAAAGACAGGAACTAGCCCTGAGGAGAGGAAACACCCTAAAGCAACTGTGCTGCCTATGAAGGAGGTTTTTGTTCATTGGCTGATCTGCTGGAGGAGGTTCCCCACCCATTCCCACCCTCTCTGCTTCTTAGTGATGTTGTTTTCCTGCATTCCACGCTCCACCTCCCTCCACCTTCGCTAGGTAGGACTCACTGCCAGTGGGAATTTTATTGCTGAAGGAGCTACAGTCTCTTCATCCTGTACAATCCACGTTTTGGTGGCAGGGCAATGAATGGAGGCAATGGCACGTGAGTCAGGAGCACGGCTTTTCCACCCAGGGGTTTTGTGCATCTCCAGACTGACCGTTTTTTATGGTCAAGGAGTGTATTTTGAAGAACTGTTCTTACTATAAGTGACTGTTTTATTTTTTTTAATCCCCTAAGGTGTCTGTCAGCAAAGAGGCTGAAGTTAGAAACCAACCATTGTGACTCGAATAGGTGGATTTTATTTTAAAAAATTAAAGAATTTTATCTAAAAAAATTAAGTTATAAAATTGTAATTATTCATTACTAAACTGTTGGGAATAGGAGGAAGAGGAGCTGTCAAACTTCAGCTTTTTTCTCCCCACAATGCAGTAGATACTTTTTCAACCTTGCTAATTTCAGAGATTTTTAATTCTGGAAACTGTGTGGACAAGATACTCTTGATCTTCCTGGAGTTCTCTGCCCCTGGAGTCTGCCTCCTTTGTGGGACTCTTGGAAATGGCATTAAACAGTGCCTGTTACAGAAAAAAGCTTGAGTTATGGATGAAATCAAGTTGATAATGTGTTTTCCAAGGCACAAAAGGATCTTGGCTTTTGGACCAGTAAAGACCAAAGGCTTGGCTTGGCACAGTAGACTTTACAGAAAAACTTAAAATACAGAGTGTGCCGGGAATAAATA